GTCAAGATAGTGTACCTGAACATCAATCCCCTTAGTAAATAACTTATTCCCGAGGTGCTACTCCTATTTAAAAGTACCAAAATAACGTTCAGGTTTCTTTCAAGGCTTTGCTGCTGCATCTATCAATCTTTCCCATCAAGCCCAATACTGACTTTGCTTTTGTTGTTATCACCTGTTTCCTGACAGAGGAGAACTTGAGGGGAAAAAAACCCAGAAACACACAACAGAACCCATAAACCCAAACCCCCATAAAACTCTAACATCCCATTTGTTTAAATATTCATTGAAATGAACAAAATCTAAACATTCTCCTTTTTTTGTGCAAGTATGGCCCATACAATTTCTTCTTTAGCTTCAGTGAAGCCTGTCTGGTATGATATCTTCATGTTTATTAATAATGTCTGTAGACTCTGCACATTTGGTGAGATGTTAAGAATGAGAGCCTATGACAAAACTCCTAGGCAAGACACTGTTTTTGTAAAATATCACTTTTATATTTCCTTAAGAATTTCTGCTCCCTGCTAAACTTTATTTGCATACTTTTTTTTGCATTTCTCTATCTTATATGCGCAGAAAAACAAGATAATCTTTTCTGCTATCAGCATTTCTACTGATGTACTTCAAAAAATTCAGTGTTTCTAGTATTTAGTGCATAAAAAACCCCAAACATTTATTAATTTACAGTCCTTAAACAGGGAAAAACACTCAGTGTTTTGCCCTAAAGCTCATCATCCTACACTTATTTTCCTTTTAGCGTATTTACTGGGTACTTAAGAGAAAAGAAATTGCTAATAATAGAGAAACAGCCATGAACTCCTACCAAACAAGAGCAAAACCTGAACCACACTTAAAATCAAGCATTTCTCTAGGCCTTTACAAAGAAAGTGAAGTTTCAGTTACCAGCAAGTGATCAAGTACCCTGTAAATCAAGGAGTAAAATAGATTCAATCTTTAATCTCCTTTGAGGAATCCCTGCAGAAAATAGTGACCTCTAAGTTTAAGACTTTGACTTTTAAAACATTTTATTTAGTTCTAGTAAAATTTAAATTCACACACTGAGAATTCTAGTGTATTTTTAAGAATCTTGGTTCCCCTTACAGAGTCTCAAACTGTTAGATTATAAAATTAACTAACTTCTACTGTGTTTCAATAGCATTCATCTGGTTTCATTAGTCTTGCATCAAAATCTGTCTTCCACTCTAACAGTCACAACCTGGGCTGCTAAGCACTACAAAAGACACTTCCTCAGAGGAAGAGACTTAAAAAAAAAGTCAACAATCAACATTATGTATTTCTAACTACATATATGTGCAATACTGAAGATCACTGGTAGTGTAGAAACATTCTGTACGTCTCACCCAGAGGAACTATCCACAAATTTCACAAGAAGTATTGCTAAGTTGAAGTCATACAGATATATAAAGGAGCCACAGAATACAAGATATTAGCTGTCCTAACAGTACCTAATGATACAGTATCTCTGCTGTCTAATATTTTGCAGTGCCAAAGCCTTGAAAATTTCAAGTTAAATTTAACATCTTCACCCCGCCCAGCAAGCCACTGAATTTTATGAGCATTTTCAGCATGTACTCCCAGCATGAAATTCCTTTTAAAAAGCAGGCAGACATATGTACCAGTTTAAAATAACAGAAGGATACACTTCCTTGTTTCATGAGAAAGTTCAGCTGCTGACAAACAAGGTGACAGGGATAAGGTCTTAATTTGAGCAAGACAGTGTATTTCCCATATCCTTCCCCTCAGGCTGGAAATGTGAGTAACCTGTAACAATCAGCAGCACCTCCACAGTAAGTTTGTGTTGAGTTCCAACTGCACTTTGCAGTTACAGAAAGAAATATGAGACAGGTTATTAATTTATCTAAAGGAGATAAAGACAAGTCTGAGCCTCAGACAGATAACATTCAGTAATATTCCCTCTCTGCTGGACACCGTGTTATTGATTCCTGGGGGGCATGAGAGCAGTGGTGTAAAGTCAGGAGAAAATGACTAGAATGCTATTTTTGCACTAGAAACACAGACTTGTGCCTTTTGACAGCCCTAAATAGTTTAAATAGGCAAAATACCCAGAGAGACTATTGTTCTTTTTGTGATAACTATATTTGTGACATGCAAGCTATATTCCTCACATATGCTCCCTGTATATATATTCCTTCATTTTTCATGCTTATCTCATTAAAAACACTTCTTTTGAAGCCATATCTGGAAGCTTCTTCAATCCAAAACTACATCATATTTTTCCCCTGTTTTTTTCTTTTTCTTAGGTTTTTTTTTTCCTGTTTGCCATCTGGAGATCACAGACACCTGGGCTAAAATACTTATTATACATATTGAGCCAAACATGCCATATTTCTGCCTTCAACGGGCTGCTGTAACTACCTCAGTAATGACATTGCTTAGCACATGACAATACATTTTCCCTCCGTAGCCTCTCACCAGTGGAGAAGCTATGGCCTACACTACAGACCAAAAATACCATGGAAACCTTGACCAGTAAGTGACTGTGGAGGGATATTTGCAGCACTTCTGTGTTATTGCAATCAGAATATTTATTTGAACCTTGAGCCAAGGGCTTGAGTGCACCGACAAAGATTCAATTGACCCATTTCACCTGAGACCTCCACCCAGTTGGAGGAGGAGTTCACACCGATTCCTCGATTGGAAGAAACATAAAAAACCAAACAAAAGCCAAAACAAAACCAACCAAACAAAGAAAGCTAAGGAAAAAACCCCAAACCACAGTGGAAAGTCTCGACAGCTGACTGAGTAGTTACACGTGCACCATTTACCAGGAGATACTAATTAAGAAAAGAAATGCAAATTCTTCTGTGACAAATGTACTCAAGAATAACTACATTGAAATCAATCTTCCAGAAAGTTGAGTTTTAGGAAGAAAACAAAACAACTTTTGACAGCTTTTATCTAAAATGTGTTTGACCTCTAGAGTATGATTCAAATCATATTAAATTTGCAGCATACAACTATAAAGAAACAATTCTGTGACACACAGTTTGCAGCCTCAGGATAAGAGAAACAAACAGATTTGACAAAGAAAAGCTATAAGAAAGGTGCCAAGGATAGAAAAGAGGCAGGTACAAACAGGGCAATAAGCAATTTTCACAGCATATGCCTATTTTTCTGCTAGTACATAACTTAATTACTTCAAAATTATTGTAACAGTGGAAAAGAAAAGCTCCTTTGAAGCTCTCCTCCTAAGCCTTCTTTTAGTCCTCCTGCAGCCATCCTCTCTTCAAAGGGGTTTTCCTCAGGGGTTTGGCTAAACAATGCAAACACTTTGGTGCAGTTTATTTTACCTGATGGAGTTTTTACAGATAACTACAAATAAGAGTCAAGTAGCATTCTGAAGCACTGCTAAACATCTAAATACAACCTCAAGTGTTCAAATCCTTTAAATTCTAGCCCAGGAACAGAGACTTAAACTTGAGCTGGACTAAATTACCTAGAGTGGTATTTAGCATAACAAATGACTGGATGGTCCTTCACCCACAGATTCTACTGCCTTCATTTTCCAAGCTCAAAATTTGTCTCATTTTTGTTTACCTCTATTAATTTTAGCTATAAAATGAGAATTAATTTTACCTGTAAGAAACCTAAACCAATGTTCTACAGGTTACACAACATCTATATATATGTATATGAAGTCTTTAAACTTCAAGTGTCTTCAAGACAACTTTGAAACTAAGGTAAGACATTGGTAAAACATGAGTTATTAAGTGCTTAAGATACACTAGTATATTAAAGAATTTATAAAAGCAATATAGCCAGGAATTTAGTTTCAACTATTTTTAGTGCAACATTGCAGATTTTTACATATTGAAGTTTAAGTTAAATGGGTTATATTATATTCTCTATGTTTTAAAAGAAATAGCCACTTAACACCCTGCCCCAAATAAAAACGACAAAAAAAGGACAATTTAGACAGCAGTAAGCTGTGAAAAAGCTCTTCCAACTCTGGTATGCAGGCAGAAAAGGACAGTCAGTACCCACAGCACTCCTGCACTGCTTAGTTCACGTCAGTGGATCTTTTTTATTTACCATGGTTAAACTCCATCAACAGTACCTGAGTTTTGCAAAAGATGCACCATATATCTTCTTGACATCTGCAGCTGCTGGTCACATCCAAAGGCATCAGATATGTGTAAGTCCATAATTCCATCAGTAAGGGACTCTGTACCCTGGTTTGAGGAACATCTGGGAATATCAGTATCTGAAGAAGACACAGAGGGCCCTAGGCCACCATTGGTATAATGCTTTGAATAACTCTTCTGTCCCAGAGAGGCAGGAAATTACAGGTAATTCGAGGTTATACAGAAATATAGGATGTCTTAAATCCTGGCATCCTTGCCACTGCTACTTCAGAAGTAATCTGAACCAGTCCAAACACTTCCTCTCTCTGAAAGAAGACCAAAACCTGAACCAGACACTAGCAACAACACTTTCTCCTTCCTATGACCTTCTGAAGTTGCCCTGCTAAAATACCTTCCATGACTCCTCCACAAATGCTCCTCAGCTGGTACCAGAACATCTCCTTTTACAGCAGCTGCTTCCTGGGCTCCAGCACAGCAGGAGATCATTAAGCTCTTCATTAATCCTGCTATCCTATCCTTCTGAAAGAAATAGTCCAATGGCTTAGGAACACAATATACAGCTTTTTGCAGATCCTGAGGTATCAAACTTAATTTCTCATGGGTTCATGTGAAAAGCACTTTTTTTAAAGTTAATTTACGCTTTCATCAGAGTGATTTATGTTTCATCTCCTAAATAAACACTTTGTGAGACCACAAAATAATTCTTTCAGTTGTTGGAGGATTAGACTTTGTTTCCATTTTCTTAGAGGATGTGCAGCCAGATAACCTATGAAATGTAAACAGATTTTCTGACCTTAACTGCTGTTAAAGGGATTTACATATTTCTATGTAATTAAAGAAAACATTTATGCAATAGAAAAAAAGGCAGAATTTATTTACAAGTACATGACATGAAAAGATGTGAAATGTTTATTATAACTTCAAACAAAAAGTATTTCCTTGACATGAATGACAGTGAGCTGAGCAACAAAAGGACACACACATATACCTCACATCAAAAGCAGTTTGTCTTCTAGAAATTCAGTTTCACATCCTTGAAACCTTTACCTTTAATTTTACGGTTGCTGCCATACATGGAATAAAGTTTTGATGATAGATTATCCAATTAAAATTTGTAAAGGTACAAACACATTAACAATCAGAGCATTCAGCTGGGGTTTTCTGTAGCTGTAAATTGCTTTACTAGGGCCTATTTTTTTATATTTCTTTTCACATGATCATATCAGAGAACCGAACTGATAGACTGCTAAGTTTTTGTCACTTGTGACATAACATTCTGGAAATAATCACAAATCTTTGTGGTCCATCTTTCTTCAGCATTCCTCTTCATATGTTCATGCCTTTTGTCTTCCTCTGAAGCAGTCTAAACAGACATGAAATCATGAAATATACAAAGGCAATTGTTATTCACAAACATACATTAGCTAATTAATTCCAGGTATTTCAGGATTATTCATCAACAAATAATGAACTGAAATGAAAATAATTATTCACAACTGGTCTATGTGTTCAGGATCTTGCATTAATTATTAAAGTGTCAGTTCCTTATGAGTCACTCTGGTTAGTCTCTCTCATGGTTAAAAAGGATGGCAGGCACTGTTACACAAATCACAGAGCTCTGGAGAGCAAGACACAGAAATAACTTTAAATTGCTTATTTTATCCTTAATCACTTATGTATCATTATTTATAAGCTGAAAGTTCACCTGTATGAGAATGGTAGGAACTATTTCCCATTACAAAATTAAAACAAGTAAAACCCATAAAAATATGGTAGGAAATTTTAAGTTTTAGTTCTACCTCTCTTTCTTAAAGAAGAATTAAAATGATGTTTGAGGGTTTTCATTACAAACATCTAGGTAAAAAATACACATGCCTAAATAAAGCTGTATTTTTCTTTCTGAAAAGTACAGCTCACCAGTCAATGACTTGTATTTACATGGAATATAAAGGAGAAAATGGAATAAAGTATAATTTTTTTCTAATTACATTAAAACTCAGCTATTCTATTGTTTGGTTTGGGAGTTTTGAGGGTTTTGTTGTTGTTGTTGTTGGGGGTTTTTTGTTTGTTTTTGTTTTTTTTCTTTACAAATTATGTCCATTATAATTTACTTCCTATGTACTTAGAGAAAAGCAGGTGGATTATACAAGGAAATAGAATCCCATATGCACTATAAAGAGCCACCTGAAAAAGTGTGACTAGACTTAAAAGAAAAATAATCTCTTTTTTGTTTTAAATATATAATAAATATCTTTCCTGATAAGAGTTTGGGGACAGTGGTAAAATTTATGTATCAAAAATTGTGAATCTATTTTCCCCTGCTTTATATTACTAACAAGGTTCTCTTCAAGACAATGATCTGTCCCTTCCACACACAGAGAAAAAATGACCTTTTGTTGTATCCCTATTTTCAGTTATTTATCTTATTCATGTATGCCAAACTGGGAATGGCTGAAATCCTCTTTTATGATCCTAAATACCCTCAGATTAAAATTTCCTAGAAATATTTTTTTTTTCCTGACAAAGTATCTTTATTTTTTTTTCTGACTATACTATAAGTTATCGCTCCTTGTAATTTTAAAGGACTCAAAAAAAAAATTTTCTCCTTTACAAGCTGCAATTGTCTTTTCTGGGCACTACCTGGAAATACTTTATTTTGCACATTTAAAGCAATGTCTGGCTGGATTCTTTCCTTTGTTAGAGTAGTTTTTTTTAATTTTATGTGACTTAAGGCACTTAAAGGCTTCCAAGGCAGAAGTGGGAAAGGCAGAACATCTCACCATGAAGTAAGTGTCAAGGAATCCCTGTGAGTTGAATCCCTGCTGTCTGAATTGTTGCCTTTTCTTGACAGCTTATTGAAGCAGAGGTGGGTGTGAAGCACTGCTGGGTGCATGCTGCTTTCACTGGGAGGAAAGCCAGAGTGGGATGGAAAATACACCAGGGCATGTTCTGTATATTGCAATACCAGGGGATCAGGACTCTGATGTACACCATAGAAGGCATCACTCCACTTGAGAAAGCACTTAACAGAAACCTCTCCTGTGCTTCTTACAGAAACAACACAAAAATTTAAGATTGGAAATATATATTGGATCTTTCCACAGATTCAATGGAGTTCTCACAGAATTGCTAGGTAATAAAGAAATTATAGATATTCTCAGATAAATGACAAAGTTATAAAAATACTTGTAATTGCTACAACTAGAGAATTACTATTAATAGTCACTAAATGTCAATAGCATTAGAGATCAGGGGCTTCAGCATGCAACATATTTTGATTATTGGAAAAGACATGGAAAGAGTTCCTATAGACGTGCCCAAGTTAAAGCAAAAGTGAGGTTATAAATATCTTGCACTAAAGGGTAAACTAAGAAAAATTACTTTGCTGGGGACTAAGGTTTCCTGCTTACTGTTTCATAATCTGGTTTTCTATTAGTCAGGCTTTAAAGATATCTACAAGTTTGCCTCTGTTATGAATTCACAACTCCAATTGTTCTCGCTTCTGTTATGAACTCCTAAACTTCCTCTTGCACCCTTTATTGTACTGAAATTTTAAAGAAAATATGTGTGAAACTCATGTTAGGGGAAATGTGATTTTCTAACCAGACAAGTGAGCAGTGTTGCTATAGTAGTTACAAATAAGCATACATACAGGTGGCACAGATGACGCAAATCCTAAAATCAAGAATTCTATAACTCTAGATAAATTTTTTGACCTTATGAAAACACATGCACACAAAAAATCAATGAAGGATGAGCTAGAAGAGAGCATAGTTTAATCCTAAAGACCCAGTTTACACTTATTACTTCAATAATTTAATTATCAAAATAGATATATGTGTAAAAAATAGCCTTGCATTCTGTTATCTTCATCTATACAGTTGCAACTTGGTATTTTTACCATTTTTTACAATTATATTCCACAAGTATTTTATTTATAATATCTGATCTCCTTTAAGAATTCCACATCACTGTTTCTTTAAATAAGAATATTCTAGGGGAAAATAGGAGATTGTTGCTTGGACTGTTCTAAGACTTTTGTGTCACAGTGAAACCTCAATAATCTCAAAATAGGAGAGAGAAACTCTTCCAGACTTTAGGCAGAGTCTTAATTCTTAAGTCTCCCTGCTGAGACAGGGAGTAGAATCTACATGTCTTCATGAAACAACCAAAGTGGGCTGTGTGTCATTGGAAATACACCCCACCCAGAATGCTGCAAACAGATAAGGCCAGGAGACTGGGCAGAAATCCCAAAGGAGCATTCCATGCTTTCTGTGCATCCCATGTTTTCTGAAGCAATGCTTGGTAACAATAATCTTACACTTCTGTGACAATCTTGACTCTGATAGGCTTACAGATAGAACAATTATGTGCTGAATTGTGCACTTCTGACATAAGGAAAAATACATAGGTTATAAGGACAGGTTAAACAGAATCAGAAGTTATCTAAAGTTATCTATGCTAAAGAGGATCCCTTGATTTGCTTGAAATCTTATATTTTCAGGTCTTCTAGTGTTTACAGTTTACTGATGGCTTTGTTTTTTACATATGCATGTTTGGTTATGAAATATTTATTATATCATTTTGCTTATAATTCCTAGCAGTAAAGCAGGATCCCCTTAGATATTGTAAATACAAGACATGAAAAAAAACCTCCGCCCCAAAGAATTTACATGCCAACCATAAGAGAAAACAGATGGGCAGAGACAGATGGAAGAAGGAAATAATGAGACTTCTATGATGGATATAAGAAATGTAATTAGGCTGATCATTTACCCATGCATTGTAAAGTTTGTCATGACACCACAGACAGATTTTTCAGAGAAGTTCTGCATTACAGACCTTTTCTGTCTCCTGCTGTAACAAGGGCACTTCTGCCACTCAAAGCAGCACAGTTCAGGAGAAGTAACTTGCTCAGTAATTGCTTACTCATGTACACTTTCCTTAAGTGCCTCTTGGAAATTAGCCAGCTTCTAAGCCCTTTCACAGTGGGAAGATAAGGCAGAGATAGTGTTTAATGCTTTTCCTTTTCTGTTTTGTTAATGAAGCATCATCAGTTTGATAACATTCTGATGACCGTGCTTCCTAACAAGGGAAAGAGAGATAATAAAAGCATATTATTTATATATAAATATATTATTATTTCATAAGTACTTTTCTCCTCCCTACATTGTTACTTTGGTAGCAGAAGGCTGAAATTATCTCCTGACTGAAAAAAATTTACAGGTCTTTGGTTGTTCACTTATATCTAGTTATGTTTGCAAAATTTTTCTTTACTAGAAACTGAAGATCTAATGATTTTGTGGTGTATTGAAGAAAATACATGAAGAATGGTTAGGTCACCTTTGGTTTTGAGCACGAATCAAACTTAATCTCCACAGAAGAAATAATGATTAAGTTAAAAAAGACAAAATAGATTTGTCTTGTTTGTTTCATACTACATGCACAGGACATCTGCTCAGCTAGAAAAAGGACTGTATTTTTTAAGGTTAACAAAAATGCCATAAAGTATCCAAATTAATCTATTGTGTTTTATTGCAAGGAGGAATACATTTTTCTTGTCAGACACAGACATCTGGGCCTGTAGTATGAATATGGTAAATCGAATAAATGGTTAAGTGTACTTTCTCCCTAGAATTCAGATGTCTCTTGCACCTTAAAACATTTATAAAACACACATTGCTTCCCAGAAATGATAAAATAAACGCACACATGTAAATATGAATCAATAAATAATAAAGGTCATTGATCATTCAATTAAAGAGGCACTCTGCAGTAAGGATCTTCATAATCTTGCAATAACACTTGATATTTCAGGAATAATACAATTTTCTTATCCTTAATTCTGAACATGGAGCAATTCACATTTAAATCAGAACTTTCTTAATTATGCTAAATTATGATTGAAATGCAAGGTAGGCCTGAGAGAAATTTGGTATCTGCCCATGTGCTGTTATGGGAGGCAATGTTAAATCACTGCGGAGCACAAGCTCACTCTGGATAAAACAGGACAATACACTGGAAAGAAGACAATCTTCAGTTACACAGTCAGATCATGTACAGTCACAACAGTTTTTGATGGTCAGCAACTACCAATTCCCATGAAATGGAATATAAGAATGGGATAATGACACTCAAACTTCACATAAAACTCCTTGGATGTTTTTTGTCCTAGTATTCACCAAAGTACCTGGAATTCTTCACGTAAGTTACATGAACCAGTAAATTTTTCTTTTCATGCACAAACCCCTAGTTTTGCTTCTTTTTGCACCAGCTAAGAAAAAGGGTCAATTCACATCTGGCTGCACTGAATTAAATGTAAAACTACTGGTGCCTTCAGTGTGAAGAGGTTTCACTTGAAAA